GTGTGTTTAGTAGTCACGTTGAATCAATGAAAGCAGTTAAATCTTCTGTTTATTAAGCAAAGGCTATAGGGATTTCCTGGATTTCTTCTGCAGGGTGTATTTGGATTTTCAGCGCGAGAGCGCCCTCTGGCCTTTGGATGAAGATTTACTGCTGATCACAGAACCGTGCTTCACTGAAAGATACGCATGATAATCACAGTTTCTGCCTAATTGCGATTTATCGCCTTTGCAATTTAATTTCAATTAATCGTGCAGCCCTACATTGAATGTTGTTAAACACTGCATTTGGTCAAATCCACGTTTTTATATGGCAAATACTTTTAGTCCATTTAGGTTCTTTCTGGTTAAACTAATTCTTGTGAAAGTGATGTCATTGTGTTTACACTAACGATAACTGTCATATGTTTCAACAGGTGAGATCCCCGACGCGGCCTTCATTCATGCTGCTCGTAAACGTAGGCAGATGGCTCGAGAGCTTGGGGGTGAGCCTCCGCTGGTCGAGAATGAGGTTACAAACAAGCGCCTCGCTCGTGAAGATGAGAACGGCGGCAGTGACGACGAAGACGAGAAGAGAATCGTCTTCAGTGGAGTCAAGATTAAGACTCAGAGGCAGAAAATAGCTGAGGAGATAGGTCAGTGTATGAGCTCAGAGCTAGTCATCTGAAGCTCCTATTTATGTAGAATTCTAGGAATCCCATTAACACGCTCTCCAGACTGGTTGTCCTTGTAATAAATGTCATGTCATGTTAAATAAGTCACACAAAAAAGACTGAATTAGTATGAATAGGACTTTTGTAAGAAATCAGATACTGTGAGCCAAGATCTGACCGTAGTGTTTGTTTTGAATGTATGTGTGTGTGTTGTGGTTCAGGTATTGAATGCAGTGACGATGAAGCTCTAGATGCTGGGCAGGATGAGGAAGTGAGTCGCTGGGAGCAGGAGCAGATCAGGAAAGGCATTAGCATCCCGCAGGTGGGTCAGAGTACTAGAGTTGTCACAATAACCACATTTCAGTTGTCATACCAGTACTAGTGTGTATGTACGTTTGGCTTTTTTCCCTTTAAAAATTCCTGAATATTTTATATTGTCAATGCTTATTTCAATACAACAGTTAAACTTTGTTTTAACAAGTTCCTTTATTTTTTAAAGTTAATACTTATTGTAAATGTTAACAAATTGAAACTATGGCATGTATCATTCAAGTTAAGAAATTAAGATCAGTGAATATTTTTGTCTATCTATTAATTAATATCAGTAGCACAATAGACAGTCATTTCTCTCTGTCTCTCTTTCTTGCTTTCTATACAGTATACACACATATTTGGGGTCAGTAAGATTTTTTTTTAAATAAATATACTTTTATTCAGCAAGGATGCATTAAATTGATCAAAAGTGACAGTAAAGACATTTATAATGTTACAAAACATTTTTATTTCAAATAAATGCTGTTCTTTTGAACTTTTGTTCATTAAAGAATCCTAAAAAAAACTTTCACTGTTTCCACAAAAATATTAAAAAGCACAATTGTTTCCAACATAAAATCATAATAAAAAATATTTCATGAGCACCAAATTAACATTAGAATGATTTCTGGAGGATCATGTGACAAATTCAGCTTTGACATAACATGAATAAATTACTTTTTAAAATATATTGAAATAGAAAACGGTAATTAGTGGTTTTACTGTGTTTTTGATTAAATGCAGTCTTCAAAAACAAACATTTCTGACCCCAGTATAATTATAATGAAGTTTCTATGTATGTTATGTGTATGAATGTGTATATATATGTGTATATATATATACTGGATATACACACACATGCATACCTACATATATATATATATACATACACACACTTTGAAATCACAATATTTAAAGCTGACACTCTGATCCTTTTAATGTCATATCCTTTTTTGATATTTTAGGTCCAAACCACCCAATCCGAGGACCCAACTATGTATTATCAAGGCAGTTATGATGCACAGCCGTATGGAGCATCCTATGCCGTGCCCTTTAGCTACGCCACTGCCACAGTTGGAGCAGACAACAGCAAGCTTTTGAAAGCAGAAGCCTCAGTTCCCTATCCCATTCCCTCTTGTGACCTGACCCCTATAACCACAGATCTGGTAAAGAAACGTCTCAAAGACAGGTACGGTCTGAACTGCCTGCTCATTGGCGGCCATTGTAAACCCTCAAATTGCAAGTTGGAATTTCCTAAGATTTTAAATGTACCAACACTTTATAGTTTTTAGTTCCCACAATTCTCCTCACACTGATGCTGGTTAATTCTGGCTATCGTGGGCAATGTTTCAGCACCATGTTAAGCTGATTTGCAGATACTAAAATCTGCAATTGTTTTCCAGACTCAATTAAATTTTTTTTAGACAAAACCGTCTTCATCAGGACTAGGCATGGGCCGATTACCGGTTTCAAGGTATACCGCGATTTGAAAATTTCAAAACCACTAATATTTTCCGTTATACCGTTCCTGCGGTATGTGCTGTTTTTCATGTCTCCTCAAAGACTGAAAGTGTAGGAATCCCTCAGGTTGAGTGCAGTGTAGAGAATAACACGACCCTCCTCCTCCTGTTGGTGCGAGCAGTCAGTCATGTAGGATGGCCGAACTTAAAGAGTTAGTTCACCCAAAAATGAAAATTAGACTGTTTTACACTCACCCTCGAAGCATCCTAGGTGTATATGACTTTCTTCTTTCAGACGAATCCAGTCGGAGTTATATTAAAAATTGTCCTGGCTATTCCAAGCTCTCTCATTGCAGTCAGCGGGTGTTGCAGTTGAACAGTCCACAAGTCGTCAAATAAAGGCACGTTTTATTATGGATGCGCACACTTTATTTGACAACTTGTGGACTGTTCAACTTGCAACACCCACTGACTGCAATGATAGAGCTTGGAACTCCGACTGGATTCGTCTGAAAGAAGAAAGTCATATACACCTAGGATGCCTTGAGG